CATTTCTGTGGCTTTCATAATGCAAACAAATATTTTTAAAAAGCATGGTACCAAGAAATACTTCAGCTGATCTGATACGGTTTTGTAATGTTTTATATAATACTTTTATTCTATTCAGGTATAATCTTCCCAAGTGATTGGTTTTGATTTTTAAGATTTCATTTCATCAACAAAATAAATACACCAAACTCTTACACACAGAATAATTTAGTTTGTACATTTTTTAGTGTGCTCTGCCTATTTTGTATTTCTGGCTTCTTTCAATATCATTAGCTTTAAATTATCTTCTGAGAATTCTACAGATTTTAATATTGACATTGATTACCACATATTACAATGAACTAACTTGAATGGATTCATAAGGGACCCTGGGAAGTAATTACATTTTCTTGATATCTTTTCACTCATTTGGACATTAGGTTCAATAAACCATATTGTGGACAACTGGGTATAGACAATCCTTGACATCTCTGGATTTCATTATTTGTATTTTTGGATGTTGCCATTGGCGAGCTCTGTTATCAAATCATTTAATTTATTTAAACAAATGTTTTAATTGTAAACACCAAATTGCAGGTATATATACATGGAGCTCTTATGTAGGAATTTCCGAGATAAGTGAAACAAGTGACCTCATTCTTTCTAACTCTTGTTCAAACTCCTAAAGTTAAGATAAGTTGATTCTTCCAAGATATTGCCATCTACATTACGCCTGTATAAGGATATGACGTCTTCATTCAGGCTTTATTCCCTGTAGTGGTCGAATTGATTAGTCACTTGTGAAGGTTTATTGGATTCAGGGACTTGTGAATTGGTTACAGTCTAACTAGTATGAACAGACTTGGGAAGTTTCTTTGGATGGATGTAATTTTCTGGTGTACTATTTTAAACTTATTGGATTGTATGTTTACCTTAGGGGGGAAATAGGCTAAATATGGGGGAAATAGAATAATTGACCTCTACCGCTATATACAGTGGAATCTAGATTTGTGCTAACATTTGTTGTTCTGACAGATTGCCTGATATATGGCTTCATTCTGTAGTTGAAGCGTGTGTGGGAATTGAAGACAGACTCGAACAAGGATCTATACAGGAATATTGTGTTTGAAAATCAATGAGGAACATGCAGCTTGAGTTGTTGACTCACAGAACAGAATTTATTGGAAATTACCAGGAGCATCATGAGTCTACAAAATTGCTCTTACATAGCATCTACATGGTACTTCTGCATAACAGGATTGTAATCAACTAAAAACACATCATTCATAGGATTGATAAGTTTAGAAATACAGTGCAGTGCTTAAAATTAGGATGACAATTACTTTTGATGGATACTTTCGAGAGAACTTTCAGGGAAAAGGTATTAGTTGACGGAGAATTAATATTTTTTGAATTCTTATACTGGTACAGTTGAGAATAAGAAAAATGTTCTAACAAATTGGCAATTATTAATATTGTCTAATACTGCATATTGAACAGATGTGGTTCAGCTCTCTGTATTGATTTTTCACTACTGAGATGAAACATCAGCTATCTTTCATAATTTTGGACGATTAACTCTAAAAGTAATTGGATTAGAAGTCATTTGGCCGGCCAATATCAATCAATTGTTATTCATACTTATGCAATGTCATTGACTCAAGAGATGCATTTGTTACAGTATTTTCAATTAATGAATTTGTCGGTGTCCAGTTTCTCATATAGTAGGGACCTTTAGTGATTCAAATTATTAGTAGGCAGATTTAGGCTTTTTATATCACTATCCAGAAATGGTGACGCATTGTTATAGCCTCAATTTTTTTATTAGTATCTTAAGTTGCTATCTGTAACAATTGTTACACTTTTGTTACAATTTGCGAGTAATCTTTAACAAAGTTTTGTTGTCAACTGCATCTAATTGTGGGATTGACACTCTTAATAATATATGCAATCGTTTTGTCATGTAAATTCCTTGTTAGTTCATGCAATTTGCTTTTAAAGGGTTTTGATCGTTTTTCTGTAAAGTACAATGTAGTCAAATGTTGCTCCCAATCTTCTCTAACAGCGGGCAATTCTAAACATTGCATACTAAAGTACAGAATATGGTTGGTTGATCATGCTGATATCATTGAGTTAAAGACTTCAAACAATTCTGAGATTTCATTATGCGGAGGTTACTTTCAATTGTGAAGTAACACTTTCCCTAATTGTGATAAATTCAATAAAATCAAAGTCTCTTCCAAAGCTGTCTACTAAACTATTTAGCACTTAATCAATATCAGCTAACTTTCTGATATTTAGATAGCTGTGTCTAAAGATTTCTAACATTATATAAAACAAAATTGTTTCAGATATATCTATGAAGTGCCATGTTGTTTCTAGCCTTGTTTTAAACAAATATTCTAAAAATTTTCCCTATTTTGAACGATTCTTAGGTAACTTCTCTGTAACTTCTTGATTTATTTAAAAGGCTTGATTAATGACTCATGAACTCAAAAGAAGAGTCATTTTGACCTGCCAAGGGATTAAATATGAAGGCTTATTGCTAGAGTAAGATGCACATATGATATTCCCCCATCAGACAGGGGGCTTTATCCAAAGAGTTGCCTGGCACTTGGGCTTCATTCTTGCTCAAGTACACATAAAATATACCCTTGACCATTTCATTATATTATTTCATCTAATTATCACTGGAATTATTTTATGTGGATTTTATGTCCAGGGAATGGTGTTCTAGTGGCATTCTTAGTAGTTTGTTATATATACAGGTGACGTCTTGTAGAGATTGGATTTCCCTTAGTTCTTAATATAGTTTTCATGGTTTGATAAGACTCAATTATTAACAAATACAAATGTATTTATATTTGCTCCTGAATTTAGAACATGCAATTTGGCATGGTAATTACAGAATTAGAAAATAAGTGGTCTATCAATCATTCCCTTACAATATAAATCATCATCATAATAGCAGGGCATGCCTGGTTAGACATCAGACCTAAGATCTATAGATATTATTTAGTATTCCTTGTTTCCCATATTATCAGCTTTTAACACAATTTGGAAATATTTGCACAATTTGCTAATATGAACACATCTTAATATAAACCATATTTCTTATATTGTCACTTTACCATATCAAATGTCATTGTAGATTTGACAAGAATCATGTTGCGTATTTTCTTAGATTTGACAAGATTTGTGTTTTGTGTGAAGCCTGTATTATAATAATACAATTACAACCCCCATTCTATTTTTAACACAATCTGTGGTAGAAATGGTAGGAAGAAAAATGGGCAGGTATCTGAGGCGTTTCTATTCATGCAAAACTGGAAATAGAAGTTCCTGCTGAATAGTTCTATATATCACAAGATTACTTGGTTGATAAGACAAACAGGCGTTAACTTTTTTTATCTGAGTTCTTGTGGCATGTGGTCAAAAGTCCTGCTTTTTCAATAATAATAGCACATACTTAGTATCTGGTAAATATTCTCGACAGGGCTGGTCTTGGTTTTGGTTCTCTTAAGTGCCAAGTTAACATGTGGGATGCCCCGACTAATTTAGTACTTATCTTGTTACATAAATATTTTAAGATGTAATTTTGACATTTTGATGAAACATTCTCAAGGTTTTTACCAGAAGGTAACAACCAAAGAATCGTGCCAGGCATCACATGGCCTTACAAAGAGTCTTAAAACCATCCCAACCATTGATGGGTACTTCAAGATATGCTTGACCGAAGAGCCAAAATTCCATCATGTTTTGAAGGATTTTGGCCTTAGAAATTTTACAATATTAATGACCATTTTGAGGCTGTTGTCTCATTTTTTGTTTTTTTTTATTTCAAAACGCCTTCAAGTTGATTGATCTGGCTAATCTGACTATCAAATGAGTTTGGCAAAACTTCATCCCATTACACCCCTCTTTAATTATCTTGATATAATTTGGGGTAATACGCTAATTTATTTTTAGTGTTTGGCTAAATACCTTAACAAAGATAAGAATTAATGGTGTGCTAAATAGAAGTACAGAATTGATATACCAGTATCTCTCAAAACCAGACCCACTTAGTCATGGTTTGGTAAAAAGAAAAGGCTTTTTTATTTTGCTAAGTTTAGCACCTGGGGTCTAGCACAAGATAATAACAATAAACAGTGAATGTAATCATAATCACAGATCCATTTATTGCTTATGTTCATCTTCAGAAATAATTTTTTTTACCAAAGAGGCTATTTTTAAAGCAAGACCAAAAGCATTGTTTTATATAAATCAATGAAAGTTCAGACAAATCAATATTCCAATCAGTTTTAATAAACTATGAATTATTTTTCATCTGAGGTCAGCTGGGTCAGATAAATATAAAGAGACTATTCAGTACTAGTAAGATCATAATTCTCCCAGCTGGCCATCCCAGTCTGGCAATAAGGAGATCTAGACAAATTGCTCAGAATAACAGGTGTACCAACATACACTGCCATATGTAGGGGGTCATTTGTTACTGACCATCATCTAGACAGGCTTTCTCACTTTTCCATTATTTTCAAGTCATTCATGCCACAGATTCCATTGTGTAGTATCATATGTTATCAATGGAATGTAGGTATTTTGTGCTGTCACTGGAATTTAAGTATCTTGGTGTGGTAACTTCAATGAATTTAATTAACGTTTCTTAAATTTCTGCATAATTATAATCTCATGTTGGATACTTCCGTCAATCCGCAGACAGGTAAATGAACAATCATTAATTAAATACCTGAATCTAAAAGTCCTACCTGTACATAAATCTCTCTCTTTTTCATGTCAATTTTATGAGAAATGTAGTCACTTCTGTGTCTTTTTTATGGAGCAATTTATGGTTATTTACTGTTGAAGTTCAGGTATTTCTTAATTTGAATAAAGATTCTGATCAGTCACCTTGTGTGGTGACACAGATCTGTATTAGCATATGTTAACTTTTATGAATGAAGATAGCTGATGTTTCATCTCGGATACACTATTTATTTCCCTTCACTTGTACATGTTGTAGTCTAGGAGAATATAGAAACACCAGTGCTATCCTATCATCTTTGGAGATATGGATATCAGAAACATTTCAAGTGAACAGTTGTTTGGAAATTAGCCTGGGATTATTCGTGAACCATGGGAGTGAAATGTGTACAGAATTTACAGTATAAACACTGACTATAGATAGAATGGTTTGGTATACTTTAAAAATAATATGGAGCATGAAGACATTAATGTACCTTTTGCTGATGATGAGCGTGTAGCAATTGAGGAGTTCAATGATGATGAAATTATTACTGGACATGATGATAAAACTGAAATGAATGGGAATTTTGGTCCCAGTGATAAGTGTCAGAGTAATGCTGGTCCCAGACTTGCTGTGCTTGATGAATGTGAATTGAGTGATGATTCTACTGTAGGCTCACGTGAGTCACTCGTCCATGGAGAACTGTATGAACATAATGAGTTCGAAAGCTTTATTGATGAACTCGAGTTTGCGTCTGATGATAACAATGAAAATGGGGTGAAAGCAGAGAATGGACATAGGGATAAACCTATTGACAAATCAAATATTGAGAACAGTGTTAAACAAAATGCAGAGTCGAATGAACATTTAGTTATAAAGAAAGATAGCAATATTAACAGTGACCTTAATGTGATAACTGATCCAAATACATTGGATTGCCCCTTAATGAATGATGATCTCAACTTAAAAGATAAAGCCAATATAAATGAAAGTGAAAATGAAGATGTGAATGAAAATGTTACAAGAGTACATAGTATCATACTTGAAGATGAAGAGGTCTGTGAATATTTTGAAAGTTCAATCAGTGATTGTTGGGACTACATGAATGGAAATACAAAAGTTGATAAATTGGAAGGTCTAACTTCAAATGTGACAGTTGATAAAGAACGGGGCTTCGGGAATGAAGGATCTCTTGACATTGGCACTCAAAACTCTTTTAATATAACATCAAGGCCAGAGTCCTTATGCTCAACATATAGGCATCATGACATGTTCAATACGGCTTTTGAAGTCCCCACCGGTGACATCACGAAACACCATATATGGTCAATAACTCCACAGCCGCTCCAATACCAGGCAGTCCAACAGTGTTTATCATCAATGACGTATATCAAAGAGCATAGCGAGATGAAAAAATCAAAAATTGATCAACCCCAATCCACAAATATCCCCAATAATGGTGACCTTCTTAAAAGTGATTTTAGACAATCACACAAACAAACAGATAAAACCAAGATGGTCAGTGGGTTATCTGTATGTCAACATAATGAGAAGCAATATTTTACCCCACAACAGCTATATCAGTCAACTGAAGGAGCTCCTCATAATAGGAGTATGAACCCACAATGTGAAGTAGACTCACTAGATTCCAGTCATTCTAGCCACAAACGTAGCTCAAGTATATACTCCCAGTTATACAGCAATGATCTATTTGACTCCTCGTCAAGTGATGAGACATCTGGTGATGAAAATGAGGACTATTTTGAGCTCTTACCAGAAAAAGCTGTGAAGAAGCTGGGCGAACAAACAGATTCCAACTGTGTCAAAAATAAACGTGCCAAAGATAGTAATAGTCAACAAACAAAACAGAATGACGTCAGACATTTTACCGTGGATTATTCCTCCACATTTCTATCGCCAAAAATTGCACATAAACATTCAGGAAATTTGGAGAAAAATACAAATAATTCAAGTTCTCTAAGGAGTAATAAAGAACTCAGACCCTTACATGTGGAATGTGAATCAGGAACCACTTTAAGCTCACTAAAACCACTTGGATATATTATTGCTCCAATAAAACAACATAAGGGTAATAATACAGACAGGGATAATTATACATTGAAGAAAGATGACCACATAAACCACAAAGATGCGACAACAAATCAAGCAACAAACAAAATGTGCATCATGACCGAGAATCATGAAAAATGCCTGATGGATGGTTGCAATAGGAGGATAAATCCTGATACAGGCAGAACAAGCACAGCCAATAAAGAAACAAATATAGATCAAAATGAAAAAGTCATTTACAGCGTTAGAAGTGAATGTCATAAGGACATTTGTGTGAATAATACTACAATAGAGTGCAATGACAGTAAATCTGAAAACACAATGGATTATCAGGATACCCAAATGAATATTTCAGATACCCACAGATCAACAGATATTGTAGCTCCTATATGTCAGCCAGAAGAAATCAGCATAGGACCAAAAAGTCCAGTTGCAAAGAGACATGGGACTAAAACTCCTGGCACACAAAGTCCTGGTACAATGAGTCCAGGAAAGGTGTCTTTATCTTCCAGCAGTCATTCTTTGGGTAAACTTTCATGGAAGGATTTTTTCGGTAGGTGAAATTATTTTTACAAACTCCTTTAGTTAATTCTACTTAACAGTATTCATTTGCAAATACATCTATAATATTTTTACATGTGGTTTTGCATGTGGTTTTGAATTTTGAAAAATAGACACCATTATTATTGAGTCAAAAAGATTATTTTTTCAAAGATTGCTTCCTCTCCTTCCAATCCTTTCTCAAATTGTCCTTTAATGCTAATTGTCTGGCTGTTACATAAACGTATTAGTTTACGTGTTGGTTATAAAGAATGAAGGTGATTAAGAATAAATATAATTGCATTTGTGAATGTGTTATAAAATAGTAATTAGTAGATTAACTTATTGTAAGGGTAATTTCTAGTGCCATGAGATAAGTGATAAGTGATGATGTCATATTAATCATTGGTTTTAAGGTAAGTGCTGTCTGACAATGTAACCTTACAACCTGTAGCCAGGTGATAGATATTGTACCCAGGTATTTTAGATTATACCCAGGTATTGTAGATTGTACCCAGGTTTTCACAATTCTAGATTTTATCCAGGTATTTTAGATTTATTAGGCATTTTACTTTTTTCCCAGATTATTTATAGATTCATTTATCTTGATGTTATTCTTTCGGAAATGAGAGATCTTTTGAGAGATAACAGGATATTCACTGTGTAGTGTGTGCATGTAGCAATGTGGAGTTGTGAACCTAGGTCTAATACGCTGATGTAATAAACCTGTACCTCGGTGGTAAAATAACAAATCTACCTGGTGATGTAGATGTTAATATAGAAATATTAATAACATTGGGCATGTTAGAGTGGTTTAACTCAAGTCTAATTGCCAGGCAGGTTCAAGTGAAGGGCCTTTTATGTTTATAATACAGTCTATATCTGGACTTTATCAGTTGTTTGTACTAATTTCTAAAGGACCAAGGTCTGCTATCGTACTTACTAAATATAAGTGAAAACAAATTTATAACCTGGACCTACCCAGAATTTCATTGGTGCAGTCAATTGGTATAATTTGAAGGGTAGGGCAGAGTATGTGAAAGAGTTAATTTTTTGTCGATCTAGGAAATGGGATCAGGTTTAATTTTTGGGGAAAATGAAGCACAAGAGTTTGTTCAGAATAGACTAGATGCAAGTAGAAATAATCTAAATATACTTCATTAAAATGTTTTTTACTGAAAAATACTCTTCTGGGGTATCTAAGGTATGAAATGAGGATATCAAGATGGAAAGCATGTGTGCAAAATATTAAGATGGAAAATATTCATGTCATAAATATTGTCATTGTGAATAATAGATGGCAAACCAATACATGGTTTATGGATTGATTTTTATGATGATATTGCAAATAATTTAGGCTAATGGTAATTTGTCATTCTTGATTTGCTTTATGTTAGTTGAGATGTCTGGTTTTAGGAGATCTCATGAAGATGTGTCATATCCTTATCCAGGTATGTATCATGTACATGCACTTTAAAATTAAATTAGATAATTACTGGTCAACATTTTTTGATACGTCTACCCAGTATGACACAGTGCAAGGTGATGATTAGGCGGGTTCAAGTTGACTGTCGACATACTCTTGACATTTTTCCTTAATATTTAAGGACCATTTTGATCCAAATTTACATCAGTAGCCCTACAACTGAGATAATATTAACTTAGCGATGTTACATGATATAAAATGCCTATAATTGCAATTTGTTTTTTAAATTGATATTTTGATTTTAAATCAAAAGAGGAGGCTGAAGTACACTAAGATATTATGCAGTTTACATGCCTTTATATGAAAACATCCTCAGAAAATTGATTATAGTATAGCTGGGACACAACAAGTCATGCCACTATCATTTCTTATTGAATATAGAATGTAATCATTTGTATCCTCCCTCGTAAATAAATCAAATTCTGTATCCTCCTGTGTGAAGAAATTATGTAACAGAATCTGAAGGTGTTGAAAAGTAATGTGACTTCTGATATATAACTTGTTGTTACCAGGGGTGGTCAAGGTTTCATAATAATCATAATATAACACCACTTGACACACTTGAAAATTTAGTTGATACTTCAATGAGCAGTCAACGGTTCTTATCAGTTTCAATTAAGTGGATGGATCTGGACTTTTATTTTGGGAATTATGAAGAGTTTATTTATTTTGGTTTTTAACCTAATTCAGTCTAATTCTGTGAAGTGTTTTATATGATAAGTTGCAGGAGCCTTGTTTTAGGATAGTCCTAAATGTAGGGCTGTATCAGGATTATCCATACCCTTTGCATTCGTTTGACTTCACTTCTTAAAAGAGAGCTTCTGTAGTTTAACTAGACTCTGCACGCAGGGTAGATTATCCAAGATGTAAGGTTGTACATTAGGGATTGTCCAATTGGGTTGTAACTTGCATTGGGATATGATGACACAACTGGAGTCTGTGTGAAGTTATGCCTATGCCAATCGATGTAGTGATTGTGCCAGTGTAATTATTGATTGTGCCAGTATATACATTGATTGAGCCAGTGTATGCATTGATTGAGCCAGTGTATGCATTGATTGTGCCAGTGTATGCATTGATTGTGCCAATGTATTCATTGATTGTGCCAATGTATGCATTGATTGTGCCAGTGTATACATTGATTCTGCCAGTGTATGCATTGATTGTGCCAGTGTATGCATTGATTGTGCCAGTGTTTGCATTGATTGTGCCAGTGTATGCATTGATTGTGCCAGTGTATGCATTGATTGTGCCAGTGTTTGCATTGATTGTGCCAATATATAACAGTTAATAGATTGTTCGTGCACACATACTAGTTTTCTGCATGAGAAAAAAATTCAAATGCGCAGATATTCTGCATGAAAAAGTCTAATTCTGCATGAAATCCCAAATTTTACAAGAAATTCTGAAACCAAAGGCTTCATCTGAATCATGAAATTGCAGGGAATTCAAATTTTGTGACATCATTTTTAAGTGGAAAGGTGGAAATTCGAGAATACGAGGGGGTATCATTAATTAGTGAGACTTTTTTGAGGCAGCATCTTATATTCATTCAATTGCAATAAAACTTGGTAGGTATATGCCCTTGGGAATAGGGTATTGAATGAACACACTCATTAATTTATTTTCATAGATACCTAGCAACAGTGGTTACCATGGCAACGGTTGCTAGGGGTTGGTGGATCAGCTAAAAAATTACCAGAAACAAGGGCACTTTTTACTATGTAATTTTTTACAAAATGACAGTTTCTTTTCAAATTTTGTTTACACAGTGCCCTGAGGTGGTTGTTATGACAACACAACCAATTATGATGTCATCTCTAGGACATGATGTCACACATGGCTGTGACATCAGAGACACGGCCATTTTGCAGTACTTTAGGGTGGAGCAAAATTGGCTAAAATAGGGATGAATTCCAAAGAACTCAATGTTAACATAAGATCTGTTATAAAATACAATGCAATCAGAGGTATTCCAGCACTAGACACCTTAAGGGGCCTACATGAGGTGTATGGACAGGAAAATGTGAAGCGGTCAACTGTTTACAGGTGGTATTCTACATTTAAAGATAATGGAAACCACACTGTTTTTGATGCTCCCAGATGTGGTCGCAAAGCTGAAACCGTGATTCCAGAAAACATCAAACTTATTGAAGATATGATATCTATGGATGGTAGACACACTATTACTGAACTTTGTATTATGTCTGGACTCAAATATTCATCAGTTCAAAAGATTCTAACCCAAGAGCTATCTATGACTCGTGTTAGCGCACGTTGGGTACCCCGACTTCTTACAGGAGAGCAGAAAGCAGAAAGAGTCAGGATTTGTCAAGAATTAATAACTGCTCCGGGTCACTGGTCATGACGTCACATAGAAATCTCTTAAACCACTATATGAAAGAGTTAACTAATCAAACTACATGAGGATGTAGCATACTACCAAGATGTTATTTGGTGAAAATATCAATGCAATTGAAGCAAATTTGGTACTTGTCTCACTAATTAATGATACCCCCTCGTATATACAGATTTCACATTTCCCTTTGAAAATCCTCACAACACCAGTTTCTGATAACAAATGACTGTCTTAGGTGTCAAGGAGGGACAAATATGAGATGAGATTAGATGATTGACTGGAAAGATATTCAAGTATTCCGCAAAATCCTGTGCAAAAAATCAAATACTGCAAAAATGTGGCGATGCGGAATGACAAAATTCTAGTATGTGTGAATTTATTGCATCTGTAAGCTGCATTCAGTAGTTGTATCAGTGCACTTAATGATTGTAGAAGTGTTTGCATTCATTTCATTAATCTATACTAGAATTATGACAATTTACACCAAGTTATGTGAAACATATGAAAGTAAGTGAATAGTTTCATAAAATTAATTAAAATTTCATCCAATATTATGCTCTATGGTATACCTTGTTACATAATTCTTCCGGTTGCTTATCTACATCAATAACACTATCAGTGAACACAGACCAGCAGATATTCCTATATAGAAGGATCTTATGTAATAATTATATGTAAATATGCACCCAATAACTTGTCTTGAGTGAAGTTGATATGTACTTCACCTTGGCAGCATATATAAGGAGGCCCCAGGTATATTTGGAGATAAAGAACTAAGGTGACATAGCCATTTTGTTGCAACAGTAGCGAAAATCAGAAAGTTTAATTTGAACAACAGATTGCGTTATCTTAGATAATAATCCAATCAGTGACAAAGTACATAGAAATATTAAGAAATGACAAAGTCATGATATAGAAAAATATAAATTTTAAGACAGATGAAAATATTTTGGCATAACTAAATATTATACCAAACTTAGATCATGGAAATGATAATTTTGGGATGTTACAACCTTTAGGTTGTTTCCATTCTGTTTAATGCACCACCCCAATAATATTCTTGTCATTAGACCTTTATTTGTTTATTTTCTTCAATATTTAGTACAGTTTGGGAACCTAAAATTGATTTATATGACTTCCTTGTACATGATAGTGTTATGCACTTTGA